TGCCCATTAGGCTGCAGATATCTTTCGGATGGGTGTTACAATGAATGCAAACTGGGGATAAAAAGGCTTTCTGTGGAAAGCCTCCACAAATACAGAATCAATTACCATTTGATTTACCAGCCACAGAAAATCCTTCTCATTTTTGAAAGCTGAACAGTAAGTCACAATTAAAAATGATGGTGATCCCTTTCATGGGAAGTTAATGCTGTGTTATGGTATTATTGTGGGTGGCAGGAGTTCTCTCTGGGGTCTTCCTAAGAGGATGCCCAGGGCTCTGAGGCCTTCCTGTTACATGAGTTCCTAAGGGTCTCTACCACTGAGAAGCCTGGAGCCTGAGAGGTATCCCTGTGTGACTTGACTGGGGAACTTCCTATCTTTCACAGCACTCTCATTTCAGGCACATGACATTTTCCCTCATTCATTTTGTGTGCAGGGAACTATGGGGGACCCATAGTTGCTTTGTGCTGATGCAGAGGTTCTTATGTGTGGGATCTTTGAGGTTCTCTTCGTGAACATATCTCAGACAGAACTCACTGTGTCCCTCCCACCCAGTGCTAGCTGTCTCCTCTGCACAGTGATCCTCTCTCTTGGGTACCCTCAGAGGAACCCTGAGAATCAGCTTTATCTTCTCTTTGCCCTTACCCCTCCCTATGGCATGGATTCCACTGCTGTGACTCTTCCTGCTAAGCTGGTGCTTGTCATCCATACCCATCTCAGGGGGCCTTTCTTCTGCCAATAATTTCACTGTTTCCCTCTGCTGTGTTTCCTGTTGTGGGATGAATATTCTTAAAAACAAAACAACAAACAGCCATCTTTGATAATGCCATTCACCTGTCAAATATTGTACCTGGTTCCCCAGTGTCCAGGGTTTCATCCTTGAGATTGTGATATACTCTTCCACTCATCAGGGATTAATGTCACTGGGCCTTCCTGCTTCCCTATCGTCTGTGAGCTACCTGTGTGCTCATCCCATTAAAGGCAGACCGAGCACCCTGACACTTCCTGACCTAGCAGCCTGCTGGGCATCCTGCACATCCTTGTTTAGAGAATGGACAAATGCCAGGCTCAGGATTTTCCCTGACACACCCTGGCACCTGTCTCCAGGCCTGGCTCATGTTCCTAGGATTCTGTAAGAACCCGAGGCAGAAAGTAGCTAAGGAAAGGGCTAGAGAGAGAAGGTCATGCTGGCCTGCCTTGAAGCCTGCTTTCTGGGTTTAAGGAAACAGCTGGGGAGAAAGGGAGAGCCCACCATGGGGCTGCTTTCTGGGACTAATCCATTTTCTAAGTTAAATGTTTGCACAGGACCAGGAGGCCCAGATCTTAAACACCATGGGAAAAGGTAACCAGGTAACTTGTCTAATCTACAGTAAATCCCTGCACATGCACTCAGTAGTCTTCTGCTACCATTGGCTGCCTCCAATCCATTATCATGTCATTGATCAACCTGTGGGCTTTGGACACCATGATAGGTGTTCTAAGGGCCATAACAGGGGGGAAAATTTCTACCACCAATGGAGGGGCTGAGGGAAGTCACTCACTGGAAGGAGTCATATTTTTCAGACCAAATCCTCCCTAAACCTTAAACCCTAAACCCTAAAGCCCCTTACACTAAGCCCTCTCAGTACTGTGAGCTCTTCTCACTAAGCAGATACCGGGTGGAGTGTATCTTGTCTTTTCTCCTTCAAGTACATCTTTGATCCAGCTGCTGTTCTTGGGTGTTCTGCTCAACTCTTTGTTTAGGATATAAGAACTTAGACAAGGCCTCCAACCTGATAATAAACCCATTGTCTTCTAAAGCCCTGCACAGGGGCCATGAGCCACAGGCTTTCCTGATTTCCTTGCAGCATCACAGTTTCCTTCCGACTATAAGCACAGCCTCTCTCTCTCTCTCTCTCTCTC